AATATTTAGATTTTACTTTGACTCTCCTCCCAGTTATTATATATTGTTATGGCTACTAAACTACAAAGAGTCATTCTCAGTTCCTACTCTCTGCCTATGTATATCCATATTTCAAAATAATATTATGCATGTTAGGGATTTATTTGGTAATCTTATAAACTGCCACTGTTATACTAACTCAATTCTCATTCAGACATTTTGTTAAGAATCCCTCTGGTAAAAGCTGAATATTAAGGAGCACTATACTAAATATTTCATAAAACAACTTACAGAAAAGCTTAGCTAAAAGACTGACCACGATTAAAGAAAGTTGTTGCTCATGATAAAAAGGGGCACAAAGCCATATGTAGCAACTCAATACTGTTAATTCTGCTTTGCTACACAGGCATTATAACAGTTTTATGCTTGCATTACTACAAGTAATAAAGTAGAACTCAGGTAGAGTTCATTTGCCTATTACTTACCCTAAGAATGATCATCAAAATAGGTTCAAACATACTTGTCTATTATCAACAGCAAAAGGCAGCAGTTAAATAAAAACCAGCTTCAAAGTCTTTGCTGGCATAGCATATAATTCCATTAAGCACAAGAAACAGGACCTATTCTAGAGTCATAGCAAAATACTGAAAAGTTATCTCAATGTTACATCTATAATTTTTTAATATACAGCAATATTCAGCTTTAAAGTTTTTTAGCCCAGATTTTTTTAAAGAATTTTTTTCTGGTGGTTTTATGTAATCATAGTTGTTTGCAATACAACTTTTGATGTCTTGAGTAGAAACATATGCAAATATATATGCACATTTATTTATCAAATAAATGAAACAATTAAGTTTGATGTCAGCAAAAACAAAATAAGATTCTATCTATGTAGAAGTTTCGGGTTCAAAGAAGAGCCGTGCTCCTACACTCAGCAATTAGCCAATTGGAAGTTATGATAATAGTCCTCGATTTACAACAGCTTATTCAGTGACTGTTCGAAGTTACAATAGCATTGAAAAAAATTACTTATGATTGTTTTTTACATTTATGACCGTTGTAGCATCTCCAGGATTGTGTGATTAAAATTCAGATGCTTGGCAACTGGCTCATATTTAAGACGGTTATAGTGACCTGGGGTCATGTGATTACCTTTTGCAACCTTCTGAGAAGGAAAGTCAACGGGTAAGCTAGATTCACTTAGGAACCAATTGTTATTAACTTAACAACTGCACTGATTCCACTTAACAAATGTGACATGAAAGGTTGTAAAATGGGGCAAAATTCTCTTAACAAATGTCTCTCTCAGCAACAGTAATTTTGAGCTCAATTGTAGTCATAACTCAAGGACTACTTGTAATAATGTCCTAGTGCTTTTACTTCAATACAAAATGATCAGGCCGGCTTTATTCCCTTTTATTATCTTCTTCAGATAGATCTGAAAAGGCACTTCAGAAGATATGTGGTTAGATTAGGCATATTGATTGAGTTCAACTAAACGAGAAAGCATGTCAAGCATAATAAAATGCATCTTGGGTGGAAGATAGATGTATTAGCAATTGTCACCTAGGAAAGACATTCTGCTCAGATGGCACTATGGCTTTTAGTGTCTATAAATTCCACTCTAATCACCAGTTAGCTTTCTTCTGGGAACACTTCTTTCCAAATAAGCAGTAAATGCCACATTATGCCAAGCTAAGAGGCTACCCTTTCTCTTAACAATGTTTTTGACTCAACAGCTGACTTATGAACTTTTCATATCAAATATGCCTGATTTAGAAGTTCTGAACCACTATATACACAAATGGCAAAAGTATGTAAAAGTATTTTATGTTGGAATTTAATTATTCACAGCATAAGGGCTGACAATTATTATTTAGCCTATGATGAAAACATGACAGAAGAGAAACAAACATATATACAGAATCCACATAATTATAAGTAAAACTTCTACTGGGGTATAGGAGTGGTCTCATAACCAGATGTCTAGTTCAGCTATCAAAATGATCACCTCTGGTATTGTTTCATGCAGATCTTCTAGGGAACCAGAAAACACATGTTGTGGGCAATCTTGCACAACAGGTTTAATAAGTGAGCAACAGCTGCCCATATCCATAGCATTCCTTAATCTACACGTACTCACTGGGTGGTGCTAAATGGGTGACAATGACCAGATGCAGTGGTGCTGTCCATTTCGGTCTCATGGCCATGACAAGTGCATAAAATCAAATAGGGCTGACAATAAAGAGCATAAATAATACTTCTCTGATTCTAAAGCCTATTAGAATAGAAATACACGGATGTAGCAATTTAATGAAGGTGATAAGAGGAGGAAAACATGACTTGAGAATTAATTCCTGATCCCATGTAGGATTATCAATTACAGAAAAATGGAATAGCCACATTTTTTAATTTCCTTTAATTATATACACTCTTTAGGATAAATTAGTCTTTGATTCAAAACTGCTTTGGGATGCTGCTTAATTCTCCAGAGAGTAAAATAATTTTCAAAATATTTTTGAGAATTTTGATAAAACTGTTGGCTGTTTTATTCTGAAAGAATTGATTGGCGTTAGATATTTCAGTTATAAATTGCCAGGAATAGATTTTAGGTGGAATAATCTTTACTGCAATGAAGTCTAAATTGTTCACTTTGTATCAGTTTTCTAATTACCAAGAAGCATTTTAAAATCAGATAGAATGTCAATACATTTGAATATCAAGTTTACCTAATTAAGACTTGAACTAGGATTTATCTCATTTGGAGGATCTTTAATCTAGCAATTTATTTAGCCATATTTTGGAGTTACTAGGAAAGTCAAAAATATCAACACTTCTAATTTAAGGTATGGATACAAACATAATCGGGAATCAGTTTTATTAGATTACCAAAATTTAAGATTACTATATCTGGGCTACCTAAAACCAGACAGCTATCAATTTGTTATTACTACTTCAATAGATAAATATTAACATAAGTGGCTTTGTTCCTTGGAACCAGAAAAGAGATAATTTTTATAATAGGATTCATGCTGTAAATGACTCCTAATAGCTTATTTCTTAAAAATCTAGAAAAGTGGTAATCAAACATGTTAATAAAAATCTTAATTACGCAACTATGTGGCTTTGGGATAATCACTCTCTCTCTGCCAACTTATTTGGCCAACTTACTTCACAGGGTTGTGAGAAAGAAGGGAATCCTATGACGTTACCTTGAGCTTATGAATAATAGGATATAATCTATTAACATACTGTATATATTAATTATATTAAAATCTAACAAAAATGTTGATGTTGTTGATACAAAATTTTTATTAGTGTTTGCCTCCCAGTCACTCTGAGCCAGGCAGCCATATACTTTTAATAAATATTCTACTGTTTACAGTCTTTAAGTCAATTATGGCTCAGAAAACCATAAAATAACTATCTGATATAATAAACTGAGATAAATTGTTGTGTGAACTCAGTTAAGAGAACATGTCCAGCTCAAAGAATTTATTAGACACTACAGAAATTCTGATCATACCATAACAGCACGAAAAGTACAATGAATTAACTCTGGCCCCATTCAAAATTAATTAATCCAGTCAATTAAAAAATAAGACTTAGCATGCCATCTTTCAACAGTCAGGAGTCTACTGGTGCCTTTTCCAACTGACAAGCTTGAACAGTTCCCTTTTTAATGTGTATAGCAGGCTCCTCTTGATTTTGAGTCACTATAAACAGGGCTCTTCCACAGTGCCTGTCTGTGATCAGTAAGGACTTTGTCTAAAATACAAAAACACACCCGAGTGTGACCAAAGCATATTTATATATATTTGGTACATTTTAAAACAATTGTTCTTAGGCCAAGAAAGCTGCTTCGGCTATTGTAAGAAATGGCTGTCTTCGGAGCATGGCCTCATGCTTTTCTCTCTGTAACAAATAACTCTCTGAGAAGTGCTTCTCTGTGACCTCTGTTAGCAGTAACTGGTCTCAGCCCCTTCAGAACCAGAAAAGCAGAACCAACATTTTTGTAGCAGAAAAGGAGCGAAAATCTTCTTTTTCATGAATGCTAATCCCCCTTTAAAAAAAAAAGCCCTTTTCAACCTACAGTCCACACTTATCAGAGCTGAAGCAATCTATGCCAGGTCTCTTAATGCCGTATTTCTATCCCACACTTTACTATTTTTAAAATAATCCATGACAGCAAAATATAGCTAATTATTCCTTCTTCCTCCTCCTCCTCCTCCTCCTCCTCCTCTTAGCTTCCCCACAACAACCCTGGGAGATGAGTTGGGCTGAGTAGTCTCCAAGTCACCCAGCCGGCTTTCATAGTCTCTAGAACACACGGGCTCCAAGTTTTGTAGCCTGCTTTAACCACTAGACACTAGACCATACTAAACTAGCCTTTAACATTTCACCAGAAGTTGTGACTGGCAAGCCATTAAAAGAAAAACAATTTCCATTTCCTGGAAAGTCTATGGAGATTCTCAGTCATCCAAGTCATGGTTGTCCCAAAGGTGCTTTTTTTTTTTTCCCCCAAGAGGCAGGTGGACTTTCTGGTTTTTCTTTGAAGACCTTTCGCTTCTCCTCATCCAAGCAGCTTTGAAGAAGCGAAACGTCTTCAAAGGAAACAAAAAACCCAGAAAGTCCATCTGCCTCTTGGAAAAAGAAGCACCTTTGGGATTCGTTGGAAAGGGAAAGGCACTTAACCCATGCCCAGATTCCTAAGTTTTAGATGCCAGTAAGGAACAGGTTTGACAGCTTAATTAAGCGCGGGGGGGGGGGGGGGACACCTCCACTCATTCGAGGTTGAGAAAGACTTGCAAGGAGGAGAGGTAGTAGCCCATTTCTCCACCATCTCCTCTCACAAAGGATGGAAGATGCCTGCAGAAAGAACCCATGTCTGGAACTTGCGCCAAGCTCCCCACCTAAGAGAAAAGGGCGGAAACTCAACCTTTACGCCACAAACGTCAGATAAACCTTCTCAGCTCCGGCGCCTTCTCTTTCACTGCCCGACTTTTAACGCTCTCGCTTACCGTCGATCCTAACCGCCTCCTTGCGACACCCGGACGAGCCTGCCACCGGGCGCGCACGCACGCTTAGGCCGCCCGGCTCTTCCACGGCGCTCTTCTACGGGCGCGGAAGGGCGAAAGCAAAGCGAGCCGCCGAAGAGAAGCGGGTGGGGGGCGGAGTAAAATAAACAAAAAGGGGCGGGGTTTAAGAGCCGGCTTCGACCAGAGACTCGGCGGCTCAGACTCCGCCCGATTCCTTTGTCGCGTCACCGGCTGCCGTCCGCCAATGGGATTCTCGCTGGCGGAACCGCTGACTGGGCGCGAAGGGAAGCGCAAGGGGAGGAGGGAAAAGGGGGAGCGAATAATGAAAGGGGCGGGGCAGAAGGGAGAAAACAAAAGGAGCGTCGGCTTTTTCTTCGCCTCAGAACGGAGGCGGCGGATGCCGGCCCCGTTTCGAATTCGCGGAGGCCCGCTGAGGTCGAACGCGCTTGAAGTGTCCTGACGTGACCTTTATCAGTTCATTTTTTTTTTTTGCTTTAAAAAGATGCACTAAGCTTCACTGAGCATACTGGGGCTTCCTCCCAAGAAGACGTGTCCTGTATTTAGGTAGCTGTCCTTCCTTTGATGTCACTCGCTCCCCTAAATTTTAAGTTGTCTTAAATGAAAGCGTTAGATTTGTGCTTTCCCCGGCCTTATTCCCCTCCTGAAGCCTTGTGAGAGGTCTACTCCAAAGTGCCTACGGCAATGTGGCTTCAAAAGCATAATCCAGCTGCTTCATTGGGATGGTTAGGGCTTTGGTTACTGCTTCTTATTATTCAGAGCTTATGGGTCTTTAGGAATAAAGGAGCTGGGAGGAACTGTTAATAAAATAATGATGCCTAAGATACAGGAGACAGAGCTTAGTTATACAGGCAGTCCTCATTTAGCGACTGTAGTGATGGGCTCTCTGCTAAAAAGCTATGGCATAGGCTTGAAAGAAAACAAGGAAGCCTGTTTTTGTGGAGTCTGGCAAGAACAAAGAGTGTTTAGAAGAACAACTAGACACAAGGGCAGTCCCCCCCACCCCCATGCCACCACTGGTAAACAACCAACCCCTACAACACTGTCAAACTATTGAGAAAGGCAGTGTTAACCATCATTCTCATCTTCCCTATTACCTATCCCCTCATCTGTAATACTATACTATAACTTTGTTGCTTTTATCTTACAATTTATATTGTTTACTTCGTATCCTAGTATGATTTATGTTGATTGCTTATTTAGTATCCATGACTGTCACTAAGTGTTGTATCTAATGTTTTATGATGAATGTATTTTTACAATAACTATGATAATGATCTATCATATTGTATGTACACTAAGAGCAAATTCCTTGGCCAATAAATAAATATTCTGTTCTGTTCTGTTCTGTTCTGTTCTGTTCTGTTCTACTCTACTCTACTCTACTCTACTCTACTCTACTCTACTCTACTCCATTCTATTGTTCACAGAGAATATGCACATGTAACACTTGTATCCATTCTAGGTAGTTAGAGAACTGATAACAGTATCAAAGAGTTAGACAACCTGTATATCTCAGCTAGAAGTTAGAAATAGCTATGGCCCAAAGCAAATAGAATGTGTATTAGATAATTCCTAGAGCATTCATTGGCCAAGGCTTAGGAATAGGAATAGCTAGAAGCCAATAGGGCAATTGTTAGATCATTACTAAAATGTTTATTAGATTATTTGTTTTATATAGCCTGCCTTATCCCACCTTCTGCTTTAGTGAAATTGTATAAAGCTTTCTTAAACCTTTGTTCTGGATCCTGGCATTTTGCTAGCTCGGAACCCTTTCGCTGCAGCACTTCAATAAAAAGGAAACAAAACTATGCACGTCTGGTGTTCTTCATCAGCTTTGGCACCAGCTCAGATAGGAATTGGGAACAACAGTAGTAACTGCAACCAATCATATTTACAAGGTTCATAGGTCTTGTAATGGAAAGCTGAAGTAAGATCTTAAACACAGTTTATGATTTCACTTAGTGATTGCTTTGCTTAATGACAAAAGTGCTGGTCTCAGTTTTCACTGGATGAGAACCACTTATGTAATAACAATCCTCCAGTCCCTGCATTAGATTACAATTAAGTTTCCAAGACCAAGATACAACCCTAACCCTTACAGATTCTCCACCATATGGAATCTGTCCTGAGATGCATACTGAGATGTCCAGGGATCCCCTACCTAACAGAAATTAGGGAATCAAAAGCAATGCTTTTCTATGATGGCCTCCATACCTTGCCCTCAAGGATTCCTCTGTACTGGCTTTCTATTTTGGCTTGTTTATTTTATTTATATTAGAATTATACCCTACTTCCATTTTATACAACTTAAGCTGGGGGTGTCCCCATTTTTATCTTAAGATTTTGATGGTGACTTGGTTGTAATTTTTACTGTTATATTGCATGACCAGCTCAAGGTTAACTCAGCCTTCCATCCTTCCAAGGTCAGTAAAACGAGGAGCCAGATTGTTGGGGGCAATATGCTGATTCTGTAAACCACTTAGAGAGCACTGTGAAACAGTATATAAGACTTATATAAGTGTATAAGTCTAAGTGCTATTGCTAGTTATGTGACATGTGTTATTAATCTTACTTGTGTTAACTGCCCAGCCTTTGGAGGTAGGATATGTGTAATAAATTTAATTAGTAAATGAATATCTCAAAAGTGGGGTTTATTTATTTATTAAATGTATTTGCTGCCTATCTTGCTATGGGGCTACTCTAGACAACTTACAATAATAAAAAAGAGGAAAAATGAAAAGGCGTGTAAACAGAAGTAAAATAATAGAACAGTAACATAACAATGACAAAGAAATACAATGAGAATAAATACATCAATTGTCAGCTTTGGAATCCTTATTCATCGCTGCCACATAGCTTGAGAAAGTGGGAGGGGGGTGATTTTTATTGAGTAGCTCTAAGTAGACAAAATGGAATTCTTTTGTTAGTTCAAGGTCATGGAGTGACGGGAGGAACAAAAAGGAACTTACTTTGGGATTGGTTCATGTGATGTGATGATGAGAGAAAAGGGGATGGTTTGTAGTTTGGGACATTGGGGGAAGTCCAGGACACTTTTAGTTTTGAAATTCCACAGATGTGTCAGGTGCTATTTTAATAAAGGTCCTTTTGAGATTATGCTTGTCTCAGACTTACTGATTGGAATGGAGGTCCCTTGGAACGCTGACATCAATGTGATAATGAAAAAGATGGATGGTGGAGGGCAGAGGGCGGGGGAAAGGAGGTGATGTCTGCCATCAATCTAGCAGAATTTATTTAGGCTTTTGGCTGTGTTCCAAAATTGGATAAAGTTATCCAACTCTATAGAACTTACTTCTGAATAAATGTGCACAAGTTCAGCTTGTAAAAAATAGCATTTTTAAAAAACTCTGCCTTTTCTTCAAAGCAGTGCAACAAACAAGAGGGGGTGGCTGAACTGCTATCCTATTAGTGACCTAGCAGGATGCCATCTTTTCCTTGCTGTTACTGTTCCTCCCATCACAAAAGGAAAAAGGTGGTGAGCGGGCTGACATTCAACTTACAATCATACTTTGTCTAGGATGAGCTGCCTGTACCTTAATAGGAATATTTCCCAGATTCTGTGCCATCAAAGCAGCCGGTATGTTTAATTTACTCTTGTCTACTAATTACAGATGAATGGGCTAATCAGCTTTAGTGTGCAAGTTTGCTATTTAAAAATAGTTTTCTTTCTCTCCTAACGTCTCACTAATATATAAAGAAGTTTCTTAACTTACATTGTCTCCTTTGAAAAAATGAAACTGGCAGATGATGTAACAAAATCAATTAAAGGCTCTCTTTGTATGATGCAATTAGTTATGGTTAACTTCACTGTTGTTTATTCAGTTGACCCAACTTTCTGAGCTTACGTAAAATGCTGAACCATAAACAATACCCACATAGTCTGCTTTCTTCAAATACTAGATTCAAATGTTTTTGGCTGGTTTATATTGTGCAAACACAATGAATATGAAATAATTAGTTGCACTGAATTGTGTTCTGGGGAATCTCCACAATAATATTGCCAGGAGTCAGACTCGACCAACCGGATAACATTATCGTCATCAAGGTATTGCAAGATTCTTTGTTGGTTCTACTTATCTATCTAAATAAAACATTATGGTGGCTCTGTAAAAGATATTCATCTATTTGGTGCATATATAATATAATCTAAAGCAACCTTACATATACATACAACCTGTGATGATTCAGATAATAATTACCACTGTCTTATGATAGCCTGCATGCCAACTATTAAAGACCTAACAGCAACTCAATACTGGAAAAAAATCTATTTTTCAATGTTGCACATGAAATTAGCATTTTGAATATCTCTATAGAATGGAACAAGTTAGCCATACAATACAAATCATATATCAACATGGCAGTATCCAAGAAACAGGAGATACTTCAATATTTCATACATTCTGACTGTTTGCACAATTCATGTTAAATTAATAGTTAAATCCAATTTTCTGAGTTTGCATCAAGGGATGAAGGATTTTCACATGTGAATCATATAAAGATCAAGCTGAAGTTTTTTTTCATTATGAAAGTATGAAATTTTTAAATATGAACAATTTTAGCTTCTGGATTCCCAGGGTTGGAGTGTGGCACAGAGCTATTTTTATTAAGCATGGAATAAAGAGAAAATACAACACAGTAAAATATGCAGTGTATTAACTACACATTGATATCTTAGTTATCAGTGAACTGAGGTGGATTGGAATTCAGTCAGGTGATCATACTGTTTGCTACTTTGCATACTTGACTGCAATAAAATAGTATCAATTGTACTTTATGAACAACTCTTTAAGGTAACAATTATCCAAGTTTATGCTGCAATCAATGATGCACAATAAGAGGGGGTTGGTGACTTTGATATTAAATTCAATTTGAAATTCAACATTCAAACAAGATGTGCTGTTTATGACTGGAACCTGGAACTCTGCAGAATTGAAATAATCTGGAAAATGTACTTGAACTATATAGTCTAGGACAGGCTGAGGAATTCTGGGATTCTTTAGTAAGATATACTAAATGTAAGTTAAATTAACCAAATAAAAAAATGTAAGAGCAGGGCACAAAAAT